CAATCAGCAACCAAACACACTAGCCCGCTGGAAGAATAATGCCTCAGCCCTGGGTGGTGGGAAGGGCATACCACAATGCATACTACAGGGTGTATTAAAATGTCCAGCTTCAGTTGATGTATGTTTTGCTCCCTGCAGTTATAACAGTTGTTTTTTGATACATTTTGAAATATATTGAAATTTATATATAATTTATATATTGAGATATAAATATATTTTAGGGACATATATTTATGATGGATATATATTCTCTGTCAATTTTTCCCCTATGAGTGTATAACGTTTTTCTTTATTCCCTTGTAATTTTTTAAATTCCATTTTGTCAGATATCAATAGTACTACTCGTATCACTCAGGGTTCAGCCTAGGAATCAGAAACAGAAGGAGATAGATATTAAAAGACTGATTGCAAGGAATTGGCTTACTTGATTGTGAGGTGGCTAGGCAAGATTGAAATCCATGAAGTAGCCTGTCAGGAAGGCATGCTAGAACTCACGGGCACAGGCTGAAGCTGCTGTCCACAGAGAGAATTTCTTCTCATCAGGGAAGCCTCAGGTCTGCTTTAGGGCCTTTCAACTGATTGAGTCAGGTCTATCCAAATTATCTAGGATAATATCCCTTATTTAATTCAATTGACTTTATAGATTTTCATCACATTTACAAAATATCTTCATAACACCTAGATTAGTGTTTGATTGAATAATGGGGAACTGTAGCCTAGCCAAGCTGACACATCAAAAGATCATCATACCACTTAACAACAAAAAGACAAATAACCCAATCAAAACTGGGCAAACATGAACAGAAACTTTACCAAAGAAGATATTCAAATGTCCAACAGACACATGAAGTGCAAATCAAAACCACAATGAGATACAATTTCACTCCCACTAGGATGGCTAAGATTTAAAAAAAAAAAAAAGAAAATAACAAGTGTTGGAAGGAATGTGGAGAAATTGGAACCCTCATTCATTGCTGTTGGGAATGCAAAATGGTACAGCCATTGTGGAAAACAGTGCAGTGGTTCCTCAAAAACTAGAGGTAGAGCTACCATATAACCCAGCAATTCCACTCCTAGGTATATAGCCTAGGGATCTAACAGAAGTGACAAAAACAGACATATGCACACCTATGTTCACTACAGCACTATTCACAGTAGCAAAAAGATGGAAACAACCTAAGTGCCCATCAATGGAAGAAAGGATGAGTAAAATATGGTACATACATACAATGGAATACAGGGATAAAGAAAAATGAGTTCCCGAAACATATTACAACATGGATGAACCTCAAGGACATTATGTTGATCAAAATAAGTCAGTCACAAAAAACAAATATTGTATGTTCTCACTTTTATGAAATGACATGAATAGGTAAATATATAGAAACTAATGTTCATTAGAGGTTACGAGGGATAAGTAGAGGAAAGAGTGGGATTCACTCTAGTTGTTATTTCTGGTGATGGGAAAAGTAACACCAAGCAACAGTGAAGTGTACAGCCTAAGGTAAACAATGTTACTGAGATGTACACGAGAAAAAAGTACCTTTTGGTAATTGTTAAGGCATATATAATTTTGCAACAACAGCAAAAACAACCAAAAAAAAATATGTGCAGGTATATATGTATGTATACAGGCGTGTATGTGATTAGGTATGTATATGTGAGTATATGTGTGTGCGTATATAGGTATATGCGTATGCATGTGTATGTATGTATATATGTGCATGCATATATATTCACATATATAATAAAGCACATGGGGGCACAGTTACAGATACTTTTTAGACATAACCAAATCATGGGATTTGTTTTCTATGTTTGAAGGCTTAGGACCATAGTCAAATGGGACAACTCAATCATTTGGCATAATATAGTTCACAAACTTTATGTTCCACATCCTAGTTTGGTGAGTAGTGTCTGGGGTCTTACAAGCTTGTGAGCAGCCATCGAAGATACAACTATTGTTCTCTACACATCTGGAGCAAAAGAGAAAGAAGGAAACCAAAGAATCAAAGAAGAAACTAGTCTACTAATACGTCTACACAAACCACAGCCTCATCTACCCTAAGACCAGAAGAACTAAATGAAGCCCGGCTACTACTACTGATGAGGGCCACAATAGAGGGATCCTGATAGAATGGGGGGGTTGAGGGGTGCAGAAATATGGAACAGAACTAAAATTTTTTAAAGTCCAGATATACTGGACTGGTTGAGACTGGCAGACGACCCAAGACTATTGCCATGAGATAACCTTTAAACCCTGACTCGAAACTAATTCTGAGGTCACCTTTTAGCTAAATAACAGACTGGCTCACAAAGTAAAGAATATCATCCATGAGCGCTGTGCTCCTTTAAAGAAACATCTATATGAGACCAAATGGTCAACAATTACTTTAAAACAAAGATGAGAAGATAAGGGGGCAGGGAAACTAGATTAATGGAAACGGAAGAACCAGAATGGAAATGATGAGAATGTTGACGCATTGTGAAAAATGTAACCAGTGTCACTGAACAATTTTTGTAGAAATTGTTGAATGGAAACCTAAACTGCTGTGTAAACCTTCACCGAAAACACAATAAAGTATTATTAAAAAAAAAAAAAGATCATCACACTACCCAACCTTTTTTGGTTCAAATTTGCCTGGTGTGGTCATTTTAAAACTCTTTGACACTCCCTCCCCTCATCAAGAGATGTGATCTACATCTCTCTCCACTTGAATCTTACCAGGTTTGTGACTGCTTTGACCAATAGAGAATGATGGAAGTGATGCTATGTGACTTCCAAGGCTAGGTCATAGTTACCCATTGGCCATGGCGTGTCCATTAGAATACTTGTTCTTGGAGCCCTGAGCTGCCAGGTAGAAATCCAACTACCCTGAGTCCTTCATGCTAGGAGGCCACATGTAGGCACTCTGGTCAAGTGCAGGCTGAGCTCATCCTTGAGCCATCTCATCACAAGCACAAGATAATGCCACTGAAGAAACCATCTTACAAGTGGACCCTCCCAGCCCCAGCCAACTGATGCTCCAGACACAATGGACAGGGAAGAGCTGCCTCCACTGTAAGAAGCCCTGGTGGCACAGTGATTAAAGAGCTCGGCTGCTAATCGAAAGGTCGACAGTTTGAACCCACCAGCCGCTCCACAGGATGAAACATGTGGCAGTCGGCTTCCATAAAGATTACAACCTTGGAAACCCTATGGGGCAGCTTTCTGTCCGGTAGGGTCACTGTGGTTGGCATCGACGAGAGGGTAATAGGTGAATGGGTGGGTGGCCTCCACTGTTCTTCCAAATTCCTGACTCATAGAATCCATGAGTATAAAAAAAAAAAAAAGGTTGTCCCTTAAAACCACTAAGGTTTGTTAACAGAGCAGTAAATAACAGGAACATCTGCATGGTTTTCTATCCTTTTATTTTCTAGTGTTTTGAGTATTTTTGTTTTGTGTCTCTTGTAAATAACATGCTGTGGGACATTGTTCTTCTTTCCAATCCAAGAGTCTCTGAATCAGATTCTTGGCTCAGAACCCTTAAGGGTGAACACGCACAGTAAAGTCCGATGCAGCACTTGACGTCTTTCTGCCTTTAAACCCACGTTCCCTGCCGGTCCTCCCCTTAGGAGCTCTGGCGTTCGGTTTTCTCTAGGTAATTGGCGCGGGACTTCTACCCCATACCTCCTCACCTCCTGCAGCAACTGGTACCTCCCCGCCCTCCAAGTCATCTCCCTGACCTGCCGTAACCCAGGGAAACTTTAAAGTTCCCTTTACCATCTTTCAGGCTAACAAGCAAGTCTCGGTGATGGGAGGAGGAGGTTGCCATGGAGACAGTCCCAGAAAAGAGGCTCGGGAAGGGGAAGGCAGAAGTTCGGTTTCCGATCGACTGTGCGGGGCGCAATGCTCTCCTCATGCACATGCGCAGTGGCGCAGAGGCGAGGTCGCAGGGAAGCTGAGGCACGGTGGGTTCCGGGCAAGCTTCCCAGGGCCAGACTGGGGAGTGCGGCTCCGGGCAGAGACACTTTGCATTTTCCTGGAAGGGCAGGTGGGGAGCCCAGAGGCCCCTCTGCAGCGCGGGACCGAGCCAGCCGTGCAGGAGCCGCGACCCGCCGCCATTGTTGCCCGTGGCCTCTCTGGCCGCTCCGGCTGCTCGTCCGCCGGCTCCACGCGACAGGTAATGATGTCCCGGGCGCCGGCTGTGCGTGTCCGCGCGGCCAGGGCCGGAGCCTGGCTGGGTCCCTCGCGGGCGCCGGCGCTCACAACCTGCGGGCCAGGGGAAGGCCGGGTGGGGCCCAGTCCGAGCGCCGCGCGGGTCTCGGGTCCCCCGCTGCCCCCCCCCACCTGAAAGAGCTGAGACCCCTTTGGAAAAGTGGAGGTGAGGCCTTGTAAACGGTCGTGATCACACCAGGGCTCAGCTGGAGCCCGTGGGCAGGTGTTGTCGGTTCTCCTCCAGGACAGCCCAGTTCTGAGGTTTCATTTGGGAATCCTGGTTTCATATTTGTCCTTAAGGAATTGTCTTCTGTAGAGGCACTTACCAAAAGCCGAACCAAACCCATTGCCGTCGAGTCAATGCCGACTAAAGGGCTTCATATCATACCCACCTCTGGTACTTCGCGATTCCAGCCTGTCCAATAGGCTTGTTTTCCCAGCCCTCAGATAGTGAAAAGCTGAAATAGGCTGACCTTAACATGTAAAGCAAGTGAATGGTACGCCTTCCTTCCCCTCCCCCCTTCCCTTGGGGACCTTGAACAGTTTATGAAGAAAATCTCCCAGTTAGTTCCAAGTAACAGTAAATTTGCTCTCAACTGAGAGCCAGTTCAGCCATTACAGCTTCTGTAACATCAATGACTAAAACACTGGAACATCTTTTTTTTCCTGTTTCAACAACTTAGAGGATCCCTGGTAGCGCAGTGGTTAAGAGCTTGGCTGCCAATCAAAAGGCCGGCAGTTCGAATCCACCAGCTGCTCCTTGGAAACCCTAAGGAGCAGTTCTGCTCTGTCCTACAGGGTCCCTATGAGTTGGAATCTACTTGACAGCAACGGGTTTTATCTGACATTGTGCTAATGATTTCTTCAGTTTTTGCTTTAATCACCACCTTTTTATGGCAACCTACCCTTACCCCTCCCCAAGCAGCTTGCTGTTATCTTACAACAGGAGAGGGAGACCAAGGTGAAGCCTGTATGTGTTTATGTATAGACTCTGGGAAACCTATTCCCATATGTATACGTATAGCAGAGGACACCAGGAATTCTTGACCTCATGGTCCATTCTTGTGTTTCAGGGTCTCTTAACCATCCCTGCAAGTTCTGGCTCAGAGCTGTACAGCCCCTGACTGCAGCAGCCCTTGATCTAATGTCTTTGTGTCTCTAACATGAAACTTCAAACAGTTGGCTCACTACTGGAGAAATAAAGGATTCTGCCAGATTGACTCTCCTGACCGTAGCCATGTTAGCCCCAAGCAAGAGAAGGACCAGTTCTTTGCACTCCCAGATCTTTCTAATGTGGAAGCCAGACAGGACTCAGAGCGGACCCCGCAATACTGAGAAGGAAACCCTTGCTTCAAGGCTCTCACGTGACACTGAGACCTGTCGACAGAATTTTAGGAATTTTCCTTACCCAGAACTGTCTGGTCCTCGAAAGGCATTAAGTCAACTCCGAGAGCTCTGCCTTAAGTGGCTGAGACCTGAGATTCACTCAAAGGAACAGATCCTGGAGCTGCTGGTGCTGGAGCAATTCCTGACTATCTTGCCTGGGGAGGTTAGGACTTGGGTGAAGTCCCAGCACCCTGAGAGCAGCGAAGAAGTGGTGACTCTGGTGGAGGATTTGGTTCAGATTCTAGAAGAGGAAGGTGAGAATTGTAGATCAGAGAGGGGGGGGAGCCCTGTGACAACCAGCACATCAGAGAACAGCCCCTTTAAAGAAATTGGGAAAGAAGGAACATCAGTGAGTGAATGAAAACAGGACTTTAACATGAGCCCCATCCTGCTTTGATGTTTTCCTTCCAGATTGCTTGGTACGAAACACAGGTTATCTAAAGTCAGAGATGTGTCATAAAAGGGATGACCAGACACAACCAAAAGTTCACCTGCAGAAGTTTGTACCATTCTGCCAATCGTTTGCTTTGCAAATTGGATTTTACAGTAACATGCTTTCAAAAAAGTAGAAAAAGGTCCAGAGAACATTGCCTTATTAAGAGACAACTCACACCACTTACATCACATAAGGATTTATTGGAAGATTGTGAATTTGGTGCATATACTTCAGTCCCAGAGCAGGCTTGTTCTTAAAGCCTGCATTGCCGTCTTAGGATAAGTTATTGCCCTTCTCTCTGATTTTTTGAGGTAGGGGTGCTGTTTTGGGGTTCCTCTGACTTCCCAGTTTAAGAAAGTGTAAGCACTATGTGGTGAAGGATTTCTGAACTGAGGAAACCTAGGCTGTTCCAACAGGACTCATCTCCGTCATGGTCTCTTTCTCTTCCCTAGTTCCTCCTCAGAGCTCTGCCCTTTCCCAAGAGACTCCAGAGGAAGACACAGCCACTGCTTTCCGGGCAGGGTGGCTAAATAACTTGATGACCAAAGTGAGTTTGAGTTTCTTCTGTGACTTTAAAATGCACTCTTAGTGTGTAAGGATATTTCCTTTCCTAACTCTAAAACTTGTGTGTCCCCAAAAGCCGTATCTAGGACCTAAGCTTCATTTCTCTCCTTAAGTTACCTTGGCGTGTTTAGGTAATGTACTCTATAGGAAATGGGCTCCCACTGCCTTCCTTGACATGCCTGTCCCCATTCTTTGACTGTAAGGCAGCAATATTGCATTGAAGTTAAGGGACTCACTGCTACAGTCAGGTAGAGCTAGGTTTAGTTACTAGCTCTGCCACTGAATATGTGATTCAGAACAAAATACTTAACCACTCTTAGCCTGAGCTCTTCAAACTTTAATAAATAGAATTTACCTCTTAGATTGTAAGGATTAAATATTATGATACCTGGATTATAATAAGCAGTTAATAAACAATAGGCGTTAATTATTTCCTCATTAACAAGTAATTCAAGACCATGTACTTTATAGTATTACTTTTGATCATGAAGCTGTGCAATTTTAACTCACAGGAACTGACCACCTTAAGGAAAGGTTTGCTGTAAAATATATGTGGTCTAGAATTTTAAAAGCCTTTGGTAACTAGAGTAAAATTAATTTAGATGATATGAATGTTTACCTGGAAAACCTAAGAAAATCAAGGGAAAAACTGTTAGAAATAATAGAAAAATTGAGTAAGGTGATGACTACAGAAATGACATATAAAAATTAATAAAAATCAAGTGGGAAATAAAATGAAATAAAAGATCCCATTCACATTATGAACCTCCCAAATATAAAAATACCTAGGACTAAACATAGTGAAAATTGTGCAGTACCTATGTGAAGAATACCATGTCATTCTATAGGACATGAAAGAAGTCTTGAATATTGTAAAGATGTCAGTCCTCACTAAATTACAAACAATACAATTTTAAAATCCCAGTATGAATTTTAAAGAACTTGACAATTTTATTGGAAAAAAATCAACATGTAAGAGTTACCAAGAATTAAAAAAAGGAAGAAGAGCAAAGAGAGACACTGACCTTACCAGATTGTAAAGTGTAGCTACAAAGTACAGCACCTCAGCAGGGGGCTTACTGGTACCAGTTTTATTTAAAATAAAACCTCTGCATTTCATCACATAGCACATGCAAAAAATTAAAATTTAAAACGATAAGTTGAATTTATTCTTAAAGCTAGAGAAGCAAACCCCTTCAGTTCCTTGTGTCATCTATGTTTAAAACCCTTCCTTGTTTAAGTCAAAGCCCCAGATGCATGCATTAGTGTCATTTAAAAGTTATAATTTTTACTTTATTTTCAAACTTCCCTTTAGTATCACTTGTCATGAGAGATGGCAGGACCATTCAGGGAATCTGTGGAATCGTTCATTCTTTGGGTAATTGCTGGTTTTGACTAGATAACCTTTAGGGTCCTACTGAAGCTTAAGATTCTGTGCTCCCCCACCACACACACACTCAGTGTTATCAGTATCCCCTGTCCCACCAGTGCTTGAACCCAGTTAAGGTACATTTGGTGTTTTAGGAATCAATGACATTCAAGGATGTGGCTGTGGACATCACCCAGGAGGACTGGGAGCTAATGCGTCCTGTACAAAAGGAATTGTACAAGACTGTAACATTACAAAACTATTGGAACATGGTTTCTCTGGGTAAGCATAGTCTACCCCCACTCCTCATCCCAGCATTCCCACCAGAGTATCTTTCTTCCCCTAGTTGTTAAAAATGGGTGGAGCCGCTGAAGTACTTAGCTAAGAATGAGGTCTGGGGCTGCATGTTCTCATCCTATTCAGGCACAGAAATGATTATGTTCTGCCCCCTTTTCCCAAACAGAATGTTTATAAGTAAAAGATCATTGAGAACATTGCTGCAGTGCTTCGTGGTGCCGCACCTGATGCTGTGTGTGCCTTGCCCAGTGAAGGGTTCTTCCCCGTGGTCCCCATGCATGTCCTCTTGAGTAGCAGGAGATTTTTATCCTATACTGTAAAGGACAGTGACCTAATTCTCTTATCATGTCCATGAACCATTGTTTTTCTGTAGAGGTCGGTCCTTCCTGATAAGTAAGGATTAGGTGATAAACTCTGAGCAATTATTTATCTCCAAGATAAACTTCATATTTTTTTCTGAACAGGACTTACAGTTTACAGACCAAGTGTGATTCCCATATTGGAAGAACCATGGCTGGTGATAAAAGAAATTTTAGAAGGCCCTAGTTCAGGTAAGTGAATAACCAGCACATGAGATTCTTTGCACTTGAGAGCCTATACCCTTAATGTGGAAGAAATAAATATTTTTAAGTATGGCCAAGTCACTCTCCACAAAGGCCACCCCAGCCTGTCAGGAGTACTGAGCTGTTTTAGATTGTTCCCTTAGAGATGGCATCTTCTCAGGAAGAGATTGTCCGGACGTCATTGTTATCCCTTCCCTTGTGCCTCTTCCCACTTTATCCTTCCACATAGCTCCTGGAGCCCATCCTGTAGAGCCCTGTGTGGGCTTTTCATTTTGCCATTTTTCTCCTCTCTCTACATGGAAACATGCATGAATGTCCCCCAAGAAACTCAATGTAAAACCTTCTTTTGGAATTTCTCTTCTGTTTACGGACAAAACCCTGTAGCCCCACTTCCACTTTCCTAAGCCATTCTCTTTTTTAATTTCCTGATTATTTAAACAGATACATATTCATAAGATTTAAATACATATAAACGTATATAGTCAAAAATCTCCCACCTGTGTGCCACATTCACCCAGTTTCTACATCTCCCCAACACTCAACCACAGTTTAGTTTTTAGTTCATCCTTTCAGCGTTTGTTTGTTTTCTATAAAAAGCCAATATAAAAACATACTTTTTTCTCCTTTTTTAATATAAACAGCATACTCTGCACATGGCTTTGTACTTGCTTTTTTTTTTACTTAAAAGGATGTCTTGAAGAGTTTTCCAAATCAGTATGTAAAGAGCTTCTTTGTTCTTTTTTTTATATCTGTATCATATTTTACTGTGCGTTTTATGATTTATTGAATCTGTTCCCTACTGATGAACTTTTTTGTTCTTATATATTTCTTCCCTCCACAGCTTCATTTTGAAACATTTCAAACCTACAGAAAAGTTACAGGCAAAGAGATGACTGAATTAGGAAATCACCATTTTGCAACTAGTGATGTAATGGTAGGTTTAGGCAGGGAACATCAGTGGATGCTAAAACTCAAGTAAAAGGCTGGTTATCAGGGAACAGGACAGTCATGTGGCCTCAAAGTATCATTCCACAGATAGTAATTTCAAAGAAAAAAATGCACCTTTAAAATGGAGAGATCCCTGATAACGAGCCGTTTACTTGAGAGTTTTAGCATCCACTGATGTTCCTTGCCTAAATCTACTATTACATCATTAGTTGCAAAATGGTGATTTCCTAATTCAGTCATCTCTTCTAAATGGTTAACTAGCATTCTCTTGTAAATAACTTTCCCTCCTCCCACCCCATTTTTATGTGTACATATCACAGTGAACTAATAGAATTTTTAAAAATTCAAAGTGTATTAGTCCATTAATTCCAGTATTTTGTTGATGCTCAATTGTCCCAAATTTGGGCAGTAGGAACCCTTTAAGCCAGTCCAGCGTTCTTTTAACATGGCCCGTTAGTCTTTGAGCACTTCCTTGCTTTCTGGCACAACAAGATGTTCTTCAGGCTCACCTTGTGCCTCCCTTGGGTCCCAGGGTGGTGCACATGGTTTGCATTTGACCCTATGTGCCTATGTGGTGCAGAGTGTGCCAGCAGCACACCAAATTCTTTGGGGGATGATTTCAGGATGCTCTAAATACAGGAAACATACACAGTGAAATGGAAATAAGACTAGACTGGAGTCAAAATGGTCTTGTGGGAGGTACTACTAGTTCAGGACCACTTTAAGTTAATTTCTCAGCATGATGGTTTTTAGATCTTAACAGGTAGCACAAATAATGGCTGTAAATCCGGAAGAAGGGGCAGTTTATGGTTATGAATTTTTGGAAATTCCTTTTCCCTCCAGAGCACACCAAGATTGAGAAAGGCAAGTTCCTTTTTTCCTTGTGTAGGGGTGAGGTTTACTGGACTTTGTTGTCCTAGCCCCTCCTTATACAAAATGTGATCCTCTGTGCAAGGAACTTCTGTCATCCTCCCCTCCTTGGTTGAGATCTAGGCTTTACTTCAGACTCCTGAGCCTCTTAAGTCCTCAAAATGGAAGCATAAGCTCATTACCAAGACTGAGGAATGATCTTAGGCAGTCAACATCAGCTCTTGTTGACTTCCTGTCTTCTTGCTTTTACTTTATATTTGGCCAGTGTTCTTTTTTGCCAGCTCAAAGGTATATTTAATAAGTTGAACTTTTATTTAGTATACTTGGGAAAATGGAAACTAGGTAATCCATAAACAGAAGAGTTGTATTGGTCTTCAGTGGCCATTCATGTCTCAGAACTTTTATAGTTCTTTATATAGGACCTATCCATTGTTTCAGGCTCAACTCAAATCATACCTCCTTGAAACTTTCTTTGGTTACCTTACTCAACATTGATCTCCTCTCCCAGAAATATTGTACCATTATTTGATCCTATTTGCCAACGGATCTTACCACTTCTAACCAACCCTTTCCAGTTAGGGATGTACATATACATAAACCCTGCTTAAATTTTTTTTTAGGAGATAGACTATTATTCATCCTCCCATCTCAGAACTAGCAAAATCAGTAGTCATGGATGGCATCTTATTAAACACTAATTTCAGTTAAATAATGGTCTCAGTTTCTGAATCTAAATAAATTTGGTTAAAAATATATACTTACAGTAGCAATCTATTCATTGTTATCATTCAGAATTGTTACTTTAAGCTTAATTTTAACTTTAGTACTTCCTTTTCAGGTAATATGGTACAATCTACTATAAACTGATTCTGATTACATAGACGTTAAACTCAGCTTCTGGTACTGTCTCAGCTTGTGTGTGTACACACACACACCTATGACTATACAGTCCATTCACATTCTCATCTTTTGGAAAGGGGCTTAACAAACCCTAACATGAGAAAGTTTTTTAATTTTTTTCTTCTACAAGAGAAATACAACTATATTTCTAGTAATAGTAATAAAATATAGCCTATTTAAAACTAGAAAACCTATAATCTGTGGGCATTTTTATAGTATTTTTCTAGTTCTTCTAGTGTATTTTTCATGCTAGTTATGATACTGCTTTTTGCATTTAACAGTACTCCTAAACATTTTCTTGTGTCAACCATGATTTTTTTGCTGGAATAGAAGCAATCAAAGTGGTTTGTAAATTCAAGCAATACAAGGAAGCAAAATGAAATTTGTGTCTCCCTCCCCTCACCCATTGCTAGGACCTTCTCAGAAACCTTGGAAACCCTGGTGGCGCAGTAGTTAAGCATTCGGCTGCTAACCAAAAGCTCAGCAGTTTGAATCCATCAGGTGCTCCATGGAAACCCTATGGGGCAGTTCTTCTCTGTCCTGTAGGGTCACTATGAGTCAAAATCAAGTCAACGGCAATGGGTTTTTGGTTCTGGTTTTTTCTTAGAAACCTTAGATTGTGTGTGTGTCTGACTGTCTATACATACATATACTTACACATGTAGGATTTTGCTCTATGTACTGTTATACAACTGCTTTTTTTCACTTAGTAATGTGTCCTGCACACCTTTTTATATCAGTGCAAATAGACTCAACTAATTATTTTTATCAGTAGTCAATATTCCATCATCCCCTACTTATAACTAGTCCTTATTGATGGATATAGGTATCATTTTTAATGACTCCATACTATTCTATTGAGTGGATATATTTATGAAGTTATACTTTGGTCCTAATATTAGAAAATTTCTGAACTTTTAATAAATTTCATATTTGCTTATATAATTCTTAATATTTACAAGTTACGTTTCCCACGATTCTAAAAGAAAAGGGATTGTCACTTAAATTTGTTTTAAGTCATCATACTGGAAACAAAATAGTTATCAACAAATACATATTTGACTGCTTTGCAGCCAGGTTTGGGGTCAGAGTTTTGGGGTTTTTTTGGTTTTGTTTTTGGTTTTTTGCTTTCATTTGAGTTAACTTTTTTACAGCAAGTTAAATGAACTGATTCATTTAACCAGTTTAGTTAACAGTCAACACATCCAGAGTCTTGAACCATTTTCTGAAGGAAATGTAAAAAAGCGTAAGCCATTTCCAGAATTTACATCTAAGTTGGAAATACACAAAACAAACAAAATTGTGAAATAATAATGTAAGGCCGAGTTCTGTCACAGGTCATCATTATATTAAACTAGCTGCCGTTGATTTTGAGTCATGGCAACCTCATGTGTCTCAGAGTAAAACTGTGTCCCGTAGGGTTTTCAGTAGCTGATTTTTCATTAGTAGATTGGTAGGCCTTTCTTCCAAGGCACCTTTGTGTAGACTCAAACCTCCAACCTTTTGGTTAGCAGCTGAGCACGTTAACCATTTGCACCATTCAGGGCCTGCATATGAGATTAGGGTGAACCACATGAGAGTTCTAGTATTCAACCATTTTAACCTACAGGAAAAGGAAGTTTCATGTGGTTCAGCCTAATAATCTTTACTTTAGGGTTCTTAGAAGAGCATTGGAGAGCTGGTCCATAAACACTTTTACAGAGTATCTTGTGAGAAGGCCTAGAGTCTAAAATTAGTAGGCATCTGTGGAATATTATGAGGAAAACATTTTAGTTATGTGGAAGCTGAATGTGAGGTTTAGTAGAAAATATAGTGGAATAGAAAGGACTAGATTATTTTGGAACTGCATGCAAATTAGAGGTATTTTTATTTTTTTCCTTTTCTCTCTTTAACATTTATCCTTTAAGCTAGTGGTTTTCAAACTTTAGTGTACATCAGAATTACCTGGAGGGCTTGCTAAAACAGATTGTTCAGCCCTACCCTCAAAGTATCTGATTCAGTATGCCAGCTGGGACCTAATAATTTAACACATTCCCAAGTGATGCTGGTCTGGGGACTATACTTGTGAGAACCATTCCTTTAGGCTATAGGGGATTTGTTAGAGATTTTAAGCATGAAATTGCTTTAGAAAGATTACATAGCGCTGTGCAGACTAGATTGGAAAATGGAGTGATGAGAGTCAGCCTGCCTACTTTTTGAGCCCGTTATATAAATGAATCTGTGAAGTTATCGTAAGTTATCCCACACAGTCTTATCACTGCTTTCACTTCTTCTAGCTCTGTCACCTAACCTGATCTATTTAGTCTGTACCCATGTTGAATAGTGAGGAGCCTGTCCTTTCAACAATTTAGTCTCTTATTTTTCTGCCCTTTTATTCTCCTTTCCCAAGCTTTAAGGGCTGTCAGAGCCATTGAGTGTTTTTAGGCATTTTGGTCATGCTCATTATTTTGTTTCTGTTTTGGTAGTTTCCTTTCTCCAAATAGAGGAAGACTTTTTATCTTCTTTTTATTTCAGAATGGCAAACTAAAGCCCAAGAGTATACTCCAGTAGAGGATACTTCTGAACTTAAAAAGGATGTTACCCAGACCATCAAATTGGAAGAATCATATGACTATGATGACAGATTAGAGAGGCAAGAAACAGAGGCCTTCAGGAAAATTCCCACTAATGAGAGTGATTTCAGATTGAAGTCATTCCTTTCACAAGAAGATGATCCTACAGAAGAGTGTCTTAGTAAATATGATGTATATAGAAATAATTTTGAAAAGCACTCAAGCCTAATTGTACAGTTTGGTACCCAATCAGATAATAAAACTTCTATGTATAATGAAAGCAGGACAACCTTCAATCATGTCTCATATGGTATTGTACATGGGAAAGTGTATCCTGGAGAGAAGCCTTATAAATGTAATGTGTGTGGGAAAAAATTTAGGAAAAGCTCATTCCTCATGAAACACCAAAGTACCCATGCCAAAGAGAAATCTTATGAATGTGAAGAATGTGGGAAAGAGTTTAGGCATATCTCATCTCTCATTGCACATCAGAGAATGCATACTGGAGAAAAACCATATGAATGCCATCAGTGTGGTAAAGCCTTCAGCCAGCGTGCACACCTTACTATACATCAGAGAATTCATACTGGAGAGAAACCCTATAAGTGTGATGACTGCGGGAAAGACTTTAGTCAGCGTGCACACCTCACTATACATCAAAGGACACATACTGGAGAGAAACCATATAAATGCCTGGAGTGCGGTAAAACCTTCAGCCACAGTTCATCACTAATTAATCATCAGAGAGTTCATACTGGAGAAAAACCTTATATATGTAATGAATGTGGGAAGACTTTCAGTCAGAGTACACACCTCCTTCAGCATCAAAAAATACATACTGGGAAGAAACCATATAAATGCAATGAGTGTTGGAAAGTGTTCAGTCAGAGTACTTACCTAATTCGACATCAGAGAATTCATTCTGGAGAGAAATGTTATAAGTGTAACGAATGTGGAAAAGCCTTTGCTCATTCCTCAACTCTTATTCAGCATCAAACTACTCACACTGGAGAGAAATCCTATATATGTAATATATGTGGGAAAGCATTCAGCCAGAGTGCAAACCTTACTCAACATCATAGAACACATACTGGAGAGAAACCATATAAATGCAGTGTGTGTGGGAAAGCCTTCAGCCAGAGTGTGCACCTTACTCAACATCAAAGGATTCATAATGGAGAAAAACCTTTTAAATGCAACATATGTGGGAAAGCATATAGACAGGGTGCAAATCTTACCCAACATCAAAGAATTCATACTGGAGAGAAGCCCTATAAATGTAATGAATGTGGGAAAGCTTTTATTTATTCCTCATCACTTAATCAACATCAGAGAACTCATACTGGAGAAAGACCCTATAAATGTAATGAATGTGACAAAGATTTTAGCCAGAGAACATGCCTTATTCAACACCAGAGAATTCACACAGGAGAGAAGCCCTATGCATGTCGTATATGTGGTAAAACCTTCACCCAGAGTACAAACCTTATTCAGCACCAGCGAGTTCATACTCGTGTAAAACATCGTAATTAATGGGTATGGGTGACTTCAGTTAGGTTTTACAATTTCATCATTTAAATTTTATTTGTGCTCCCTGTGTGTTAAAACACTATTGTTATTCAAAAGAAACCCAAAAGTGCAATATATATCAGATATCACTCAGCAGAAATGTCAAAATTAGCAACACGGATATAACTTAGTTATATTTAATGTGAAAAAAACTTCACTCACTTTTTAACCTTTATTTGATATCGGTTTAATTCATTTGAGAAAGAAACACTAAGAGTATTTGAAAACCTGTAACTCATCAACTCTTGCTGTATTTCAAGTTCTTTTTAATGAGGCCTTATAAATGTAATTTGGGATAGTTTCCACCAACCTGATTTCACATAGAAAGTAACCCTGGGATTATAAAAAAGAAAAAGCTGTTTTTGGGCCTTCATTTCTTCCCAGCTTTGATGCCTTAAAAGATGTGAAGAATTCTCTACCCTTTTTTACTTCTGCTTTTCCTGTTACGCCATAATTGCCATGTGGAGCCAGTAGGTTTGCAAAAAATAACTGAAAGTATCTTAAAGATTCTATGTGACCACTGTTTGTTTACACTTTCCCCCAAATACGGAAGTATTAAAGGAAAAGAAAATGAAAGATGATCTGCCAGAATAGAGGAACTAATACTGTGTATATAACCTTTAAACATGTACAGATTTAAACAGGCATAAATTAAACACCCCAAGCTTAATTTAAAACCTATTAGCCTTAGTTTCACTAGTTTTTGACATGTAGGGTGATTGTGAAGGAAAAAAAGAGGCACACAATTTGCATTCCTCCCACCTGACTCCTAAATTGATACCTTGGGTTCCCCTATGACTGTTTCATTGTAGAAAGTCCATTTCTTCCATTGAAACACTTGTTCCTTGAGTCCCTGCTGTGCTCAGGGCCCAAACTTCTTCATTGAATCCTTTCAGGACTTCAGTTACAGTGCTGCAAATCACTGATTTTAAGTAACAAAGTTTTCTAAAGGAATGAACGATAACAAAAGTAACTACTTTGTCATGGAATGAGCATAAGAAGCCTGCTAAAAATAGGTTGCCAAATGCTGCCCTGTCCCAAGACAAATAATGAAAGCTATATAAAGAATATATACTTTGTTATATATACTTAGTATATAAAGAATAAGTAATGGGAAATAGATTTGAGTTCACTGCAGAAAGTGGGTCAGGGAAAAATTAAGCTGAAGACCTAACTAGTGTGAAAGAGAATATATATGTAACTATTTTAACATTGAATGTAATTGGGCCTGGTTTATCTAACACAATAAGTGACTAATTAAATAAAAATGCAAAATTCAGCCTGTTACAAGAAGAAACTAAAAATGAAATGACTGGTTTTTTCATGGATAGTTGGAAGCCTGTTATCTCTTTCGTACATGCAAGTAAAACGGGTTATTCCCAACAATATTCAGGAAAAGAAATTTCATTGCACAATGCATTGATACAGAAACTATCACTGAATCATTAAACAATAATAACTGAGTTTGTGGGTCCTAAACAACAAGGAAAACTGGCAGAAATGCAAATAGAAATGCACTTTAAAAAAAAGAAAAAAATACCATTGTATTTAATGTCCACAGCATTCTACTATCAGAATATAAGGCCACATTCTGAGAGCTGAGATTTCATCTCGCTCAGGTTTGTCTCTCCAGCGCCTTGCACACAGGCGATGATCAATATGTGTTGGTTGAATTAATGGATAGTTATGTAGATAAAGCAGAGTTGAGTAATAAGGTAGAATTGACTGATGGGTGAAATTGTAGAAACTAAAAACATTTTTTATTTGTGCATACACACAAAGAAATACTTATCAAATATTGATCATTTACTGGGTGATAAACTCATTGTCTTTGAGTCGATTCCAAATCATAGTGACCCTATAGGACAGAGTAGAACTGCCCCGTAGAGTTTCCAAGGAGCAGCTAGTGGATTTGAACTGCTGACGTTCTGGTTAGCAGCCGAGTTCTTAAACCACTGTGCCACCACACCTCCTTACTGGGTAATGGGAACTGCTTAAAAATCATCAAGAATCAGAACCCTCAAATCTTAACAATGAGTATAGTCCATTGAAAAAAATCATGGGACACTGTTGCACATGGAAGTTTTCCTGACCTAGATGAGGAAAGGTTGATGTAAATTCTGGTGCCCTAAATATCAATTTAAGCATTTACTGGCCAGGCAGTTTCATTTGGACATCACTGTTTACATAAACATTTTGCAAACAAGTGCTGAAGGCAGGACCTGGGGTACTATCATCTTCTTAACATTATGTAACTTTGACTTCATGGTACTCTCCTTCAAAAAGTACAGATTGTCTTCAGGTGCATAATACTCAAATTATGCTTATTCCATAATTATGTTTAAAATAACAGTTATATTCAAGATGCAGTTTTTTAATGCTGCATCATATCTTACACTTTTCTCTTGAAATCTGTGTGGAGTATCACAGTTGTCCATGTCCCCTTTGTTTATGTCTATTTGTGTTTCCTGCCTTTGTGTATTTTATGTAAATAATGCATTTATAAAGTCTTCCACTGATACTGAGGCAATTGATTCCCTTATTAAATAGAATAATAACAATAGTGAAAAAAATCATAGATTTTTGTGTATTTTCCCACTGTTGCAGTTTTCTGACCCATGTGTAACCGAACAGTTTTTTAGCAGTCTTATTTTTCCATACCTTTTATAAAGAAAATTTTCAAATAAGCAGAAAAGTTAAAGAATAATAAAATCAACTGTATATTCACTACCTAGATTTAAAAATTAACATTCTGTCATATTCTTTACTGAACACTTTGAAGGTAACTTATAGACAGGACATTTCACCCCTAACTACTTGAGCATGCATCTCATAGAAATAAGGACAATCTTTTACATAACCATGAGATCATTACCTACCTCAAATAATGAATAGTAACTCCCCGACACCTAGTTCATGTTTAAATCCTCTTTGTTGATCCAGTCAAGTTTCACACATTACGTGTGATTGTTAGGTCTGTTTCATCTGTGTAGAACAGTTTCCCATCATTCGTTTTTCCAAGATTTTTTTTTAAAGAGATAGTCAATTGTCTTGTAGAATGTCACACATTCAGGATATAACTGATTTTTTACATGTGGTTTATCTTTTCCTGGATCCCCTGTAGTGTCTATAAATTAGACGTTAGATCCAAATGCTTGACTGGATTCAGGTTAAACATTTTAACACTTCCTAGATGTATTTCATATTGCATCACATCAGAGGTCTCATTAATATCAGGTTGACTCAACTACCAATCATGAAATTTTATCACTCAGTTAAGGTGATCTTTCCAATTAAAGGTACGTTCTTCCTGTTGCAGTAAACATTGTGTGAACTGACACTTTGAAACATGAATATCCTATTTACCAACAACCTTTCATGATTGGTTTTAGTATCCAATGATGATTCTTGCCTGAATCAAATTTTATCAAGATTTGCAAAATGGTGATTTTCTATCATTCTTTCTACATTTACTGACTGGCATTCTTTTGTAAGTAAGTCTTCCCTCATCAACTAGGTATGGACTACAGGCAGGGTAATGCTCAATTCTATTTCTTTACCAGTTTTCAGAGTAAGGAGTTGGTAGTGATCATCTGTAGTGATGAGAAATGATTCAGTGTGTTACAGTCAATTATGATCATTGTTTCTGATGCTCAAATTGTCCCAAATGTGGCCAGTTGGAACCATTCAAGTACCTCTTATGTCCTTTCGACATTCTCCCTTTAATCTTTGAGCACTTAATTGCTTTCTGATACAAGATATCTCAGGCTCACTTTGCACTCAGTAGCTCAGACATAGAATGAGCCATTTCTCCAAGGATCCCTGATTCCTTTTAATAGGCAACTACTTAGAAACCAAGAGCTGGACACTAGGCATGCTCATTGCTACTGGAGTGTCATTATCTAGTAGCCTTTTGAGTCTTTCCAAAGTATTCAACTTGGTTTTCATAAAGTCTTTACATTCATTTCATCGGTTACATAATAACTAATTACATAATGGGGAATATAATTACATAGCTGGGATAAACTATTTTGGGGGAAAACAACTAAGTCTTGTTAAGCCTACAATTAAATTGAGGAGAACAGAAGTGTTATGTATACTAGAAAGCAGCAGACTTAACCACAACAGGTCTTGTGCCAAGGCCTTCAGCATATTTTATAGAGCAGATGGAGAGTGTCCGTTCATCTGGCAAGTGGGTTGAGTGGAGGGCAGTTATGAAAGCAACTAACTGTATGATGCCTACTATGTAGTGGTTTAACTATAACTCTTACATGTCTTCATAACTTGTATTTATAAAGCTAATCACATTCCTCTCCCTCCACATTCTTTAAAGAAGGTTTCTAAAAAGATCCAAATTTGAATCCTGGTGTTCTGTCCATACAAGTCCACGCACCTTTTTTTTTTTTTGTTTGGCAAAACTTAATTTGATCTTTAAACTTTAAGACTATTATGTTTCATTCTTTAACTGGCCTCTGTTCTCAATTGGCTTCCACGTGCCTGTAAATGTACTCTCGGCTCTATAATTCACCCTTGGAACACTATAACCATTAAAAATGGCAAGCGTGTGCACTACAGTGATATGTGTAAGTGTGTGTGGAAGCTTGTGAGCAACACTGGGCCCTCAATCCTATATGGATGAGGAAAGTGATACCCATGATGCTGAAGGTCTGTCCTGAGGTCATATAGTTATATAGTGAGAGAAATGGATTAAGTATTTTGATAAGATTAGACGTGCATTGAAAAAACTTTTGTTTTTCATCTTCCCTCCCATATAGTTGCTTAAATCCAATCTTTTAAATGAGAATGGCCCAACTCAGGATGCATCTACCACCCAACTTCAGTCATTGATCACCTGAAGCTATCTTATCAGTACCTTAAGTTTTTTTAATTAAAACTGAATTGTTTTCATTCCAAAATCTGCTCTTTTTTTAATTCAAAACCTTGACGGGAAGATAGAAAACCACCACTCTCTCCTCTAATAGTCATTTTAGTCCCATTGGTTTTATCTACCATATATTCCAATCATTCTCTCTTCCATCCCTACTGCCATTGCTCATTTCAGAGAGTTAATCAGCTCTTGTTGAGATTATTGCAGAGCACCCTGCTCCTGATGTCACTTTCAATGTATAGTCCACACTGCTGCTGAAGTCATCTCTGAAAACACCTGACTTTCTGCCTGTTTAAATATACCTCTTTAAGTACTTAAATGCCTCTTTCATCCTTTTACCTTCCACACTGCTGCCTCAGTCATCTGAAAATACTAAACTAGGACCACCACATACAGCTGTATAAAGTGGGTAGTGCATGAGATAAAAAGTGTCCCTGCATCTGACCATGTCCTTTTACTTAAACCCTTTCAGTATTTTAGCACTGTCTACAGTGGTGGATCCCACCCATAGCTACACATTACAGTGACATGGAAAGCTTTTAAAATTACCAATGCCAGGGTGCCTGCCTCCAGAGATACTAATTTATTTCATTTGGAATGGTGCCTGGACATGAGTATTTCTTCAGCTTCCCCAGGTGATTCTAATGGGTAGGAAAGCCTGAGAAACCCTGAACTACATGATGAAGTCAGTATTCTTTAACATGGCGCCATCATCTGCCTCCTGCCTAGCTCTCTGGCCTCTTCTCCCACTAGGCCTTCCTGACCTGTTTCACTCATGATGATCAGTAATACCAAACTACGTATACTTGTGAATTGTTCATGGCTGTTTCATGCCTCCATGCCTTTGCATGTGCCCTGAAATGCACTCTCCAATGCCACATTGTCCCACCCCCTAATCCAAAGAGATGGCTTGATCTGTAACTTGGAACTTCCTTTTCCAATAGCACATATCATATTGTATTTAATAATTTCCCTGTGTGTTTGTTTCCCTTGCTGGGCTTTAAGATTTCTAAGAACAAGAATCTTACTCATCTCTGAATCAGACAAGAAGGCTCACTATCACCTCTACTCTTCAACACTGTACTGGACGTCTTAGAGAATGCAGAAGAAGAAAATATGTACATTTAAAGAACTGGTGACGTATTTATGAATGGAATCATATGATGTTGGGGTTTGTTTGAAAACAATCCAGAGAACAGGAGTGAACGCAGGAGAGATGAAACAAAATTGGCCCCAGTTGTTAAAGTTAGGTGATGGATACATGCAGGTTCATTGTACTGCTTATTTTTGTGTGCGTTTGAAGTGTCTGTAGTAAAAATAGGGTCGCTATGAGTCAGAATCGACTCTACAGCAACGGGTATGGTAAAAGGTTTAAATATACATATATATGTATGTATTGATAATGAAGAAGTTAGTAGGATCTGTAGTAATGTTACCTCTTCCATTGCTGATATTAGTAATTTATGTTGTTTTTTTTAATTTCTTGAGGAGCCTGAGTTTTAACAATTTTATTGATCTTTTCAAAGGACCAGCTTTTGGTTTGATTATCCTTATCCTTTTTCTTCCATATGAATTTAAGACTCGGGTTGTGAATTTTCATAACAAATTCTGTTAGGATTTTGATTGGTATTACATTGGATTTAAACATTAATTTTGAAACAAATTCAAGGGAAGAGAGAATTGACATCTTTACTATATTGAGTTTTCCCAACCCCCAAAATTCTGTTTCTCCTTCACTTATGTTTCTCAGTAAAGTTTTACAGTTTTTTTCATATAGGGCATAACTACATATTCATTGTTATTTCTAGTACTTTGTGGTTGTTTTGTGAATGAGAATACAA